GTTGCAGTGTTTTTAGGGATTTTTTTTTTATAAAATTGCAGGAGAAAGTGGAAAAAAACATTTTTTTATAATTCATAAAAAATCGAAAGCAACTTGTGAGTGAGGGAGTCAGTTTACTGCTGGTGATTATTATGGGTTTGTGATTATTTGTCTAAATAATAATAATGGATGTAAATTACCATCACCATATACTACAGAGTTGCAGTTTGCAGTGATACATTTATTCATCAAACAGTTTGAAATAACTGTCGGTTGTTAGAAATGTTAACACACACACACACACACACACAGAGAGAGAGAGATTCCCATTTTGGCTGCAGATATTTTCATCTGCCAGGCAACTACATGTGATAGTGGCAAAAGCTGGCATAGGAAGGCTAACGAAAACTGTAGTTCGGTTAAAATTTCACTGGAATCTCTTTGAGAAAGACACTAAATCCCTTCAACCTCTACTGATGCTGGTCTCATGTTTCACTTCACTCTGGCAGTGGTTTGTCAGAAATATCATTTTCAGACACAGAAACATCACACAATTAAGGCTGGGGTATGATCGAAACAAATGAATATATTGTCTATATTGAAGTATACTGTCGTACAACCACGTCAGAAGGCAACAGTGTTTAAAGTTGGTCCAAATGGACACACTGCAAAAAGTGGGCTGAAAAGCTTGCAATCACAGAGAGGAGCAAGACTTGATTGTTATGGGGCACACTTTGAAACAATCTTAAAGTGAAACAATCTTATTAATTTTAATGCGCTCCTTTATAAAAAAAGTGACAAGTAACCGTGGTGGTGGCGTGTGGTGAGGGGGTTACTGATGTTGTTCAACAGCACATAAGAATAGTGGTTGACTTTCACATCAAGCCTTGTTCCAGAAGATAATTTGTGTCACTCTGTAGCAGCATTCCCTTTGTACCAGGAAATACTTTGTGGTCACAGAGAATTGATATGATAATGCAAATATTGTGACTTGCTCAAGTAACTGCCATAACCGTTTAAAAACATTAGATTACAATGGCAGACAGCTTGTGCACAGCAACTTACATTTGGGTAGCAAATGGGCCTCATGTTCTTGCTCAAGGACAATGACATGTGACTACCTGAGGTACAGCTTTATTAAAATATGCCCTAATCTCTGTGCCCTAAAACAGGTGCGGCATAATGTGTGGTTAGAAAGACATTTAAACTTGTAACTGTGTAATGTATAGTATATGACACCTCTATTATCCTAACTGTGTGTCTGCTGCTCACGGACACAAAATATACATCATTTAGTCAACAAATAATTCTCTTACTCTTACTGTCTGCACTTTTTAGCTAGCTAACTGTGGAATCTTCGCTCTGTATCGCTAAAAGGTGAAAATTGATTGACAGATGATATTATTGGTTGAAATTGGTTAGTTCACGCTTATGTTAGCATGCATCACATTTTATATTACAGGAAGAATGATTGGATTTCTACTTTGAAATTGAAAATTTGAGTTTTTGTCAATTTTTTGCCGTACATTGTTAAGTATGGTTACATTTTGACTAAGGATGCAATCATAAAATGCCATTTTTCATTTCACCTGGACTTTTTTAATTGAATTATGTTTCGACAAGACTGTGCGTATTGTCTTTTCACAGCAGTTTGTCAATCTACCGTTTTCAACTCTTCTGTTTGAGCTGTTCCACATTATAGTAGGCTCTATGCATTAATTGGTGCCTCTTGTATATCAAAGATGGATATATGGCTTACTCTCTATACAAAGTAGTTGCAAATTATGCAATAAAAACCATAAGACGTTTTTTGCAATCCATACACCCCCAAACAGAAAAACAAACAAGAAATTGCAGTACAGAAAGCCAAACAGGGCTTTTTTCCCCCAAGGAGTACATTAAGAGTGAAAAATGATCAAGCATCAAACCAGGTACTATCCACAACTTTTGGCAATGGAAAACCTAAAAAGAGTGAGTAAAGTAAAGTAAAGCCGAGCCGTACCATACAGCTGAAACACAGCAGTGGTGGACTGAGTGCATAGGCCAACAGTTGGTTCATAACAATTAGCCTTTGGAGCATATTATGGCCAAAACATATACAGTGATACATAGGAGTCTACAGACATAACTGCTTGCTTTTCTGCAAGTTTATGTTTGTCTGGTTTTGATAAATGACTCTCACTGACTTTTTAGTCGTGAAGGTTTTATTGCACATATAGTAACGAGCATAGTTGTCGTCAACTCCAGTAATATAATTCCAGGGTTCACTCTCTCTGTTGCAGCATCTACTAAGATGAGAAGCTGTCTGCAGTGTGGGTTTGTGGTTAAGGCGCTAAGTCCTGCCCTCATGTTCTGACACACTGAGCAGAGAAAGACAGAAGAACTGTATTTTCGGATTTCTTCAAGTAACAATTAATGAACCAACCTTTCATATACACCAATCAGCCATAACATTGGTCAGTTTGTAGTGACACTAACACTGATTATCTTGTTATCAGGGCACCTGTCAGTGGGTGGGATATATTTGACAGCAAGTGAACATTTTGTCCT